GCCCTCCTCTTTTCCAGTTTTCACTTCACAACTCAGTACACCGTGTCATTGCTTTCTATCAGTTCACCCCTGGGTTACTCACTTGATTCTCCGCCCTACTTACCCTGGCAGCCGCTAGTCCAGTCTCTTGGCCCTTCTTTTATCACAGTGTCTTACTTGAACAGTTCCAAGTAGAGTTGTGTGATTTTGTAAGCTTGTATTTGCTTTATTGGATAATTGCAACAAAGTTTCTGAAACTTTTATCGTTCTAAAAAAAAATTTTTGTTTGTTTTTTGAGACAGTCTCACTGTGTATCCATGGCTGGTCTGTAACTCTGTAGACCAGGCTTACCTGGAACTCTTGGAGATCCACCTGCTCTGCCTCCCCCGTGCTGGCACTAAAGGCGTGGGCTACCATGCCCAACTCCCATAGTTTCACACCTTTGTATGTATTGTAATCACCAGGAGTATTTCTGTGTCCTTCAGTTTCTTCTGTAGTCTCTGATGTAGCAAATAATTGAACTTTCAAGCCAGGTTCCCAGTATTTCATATCACCCACAAGGATTAAATAATCTTGGTAACTAAAGGATTTCAACACTAGTGAGATGTGTGTACCCCTCTTGTCCACCAGATGGCAGTCTTGGAGGCAATAGAAAAGAGATAAGTTTGGAATAAATTTGGAGACTGAATTCTCAAATACCATATTTTATGTTTTTGTAGTATGAGAGATTGTACTAAATGCTGTACCACAAGCTGCATCCTCAGACCCAGTGCCAGATTTTAAATAATAGTTTAGTATGGATGTCACTACATGGAAACAGTATGATTGCTTGTACTTTGGAGTAGTCATTTTGTCAAACAAAGTACCCGTCCGTGCCTGTGCCTTACCTCCACAGCTGCTGTTTAATTGGGTTGTTGTGACCAGAGTTTTGGAATATGACAAGAGTCTTCAGAAGACTCTAATGTATAGACACATGGCAGAATCCTGGACTGGGGGCAGAAGGCTTCACTTGTGGTGAAGGAAATTCAAAATGTTCTAGGTCAGAAATGTAAACTGTGACTTATTTAAACAAATGTGTGATTCTTTTCTTTTCTTTCTTTTTTTTTGGTTGTATTGTCAATTTGAGGATAATTTAAAAGGAAAATAATATAACTTCTGGAAAGTCATTTGGATTTCAATTGTTTATTCAACAGCCATTTATTTCAATTGTTTATTCAACCATTTAAAGTATTTATAAGTGGGAATAGTGATACTACTAGGTTTTCTTTATTTTTTTCTCAGTTATTCATTTTGTATGTTCTCAGCATCACTGAAAAACATTAACAGTTGGCAGTTTATTAGTTCCGTCAGATAGTGTGCGTATCTGTGGATGGCATGGTCCTCATTAAGGCTGTGCCTACTGATTCCTGCTTTGGTTTTTCTCTGTATCTTAAGTTTGATGTCTTCAGCATACATCCCCATTGTATTCTTCTGCTATTTGGTCACTACTTTGTGAGTTTTCCAAGAGCAAGAGGAGCTGTCTTTGGGGAACTCTTTGAAAAAGTCCAAAGCATAAAGATGCAATTTGATTAATGTTCACAAACTAAGCATCCTGTTAGTATCAGATGGATCAAGAAACAGGCTCATACCTGCATTTTGGAAGCCTTCCTTATGTGCTTTCCAGCCACTGCCTCCTCTAATCTTGAGTTTCTCATTTTCTTGCTGTGGTGGTGATTTGAAAGAAAATGGCCCCCTAAGGGAGTGGCATTATTAGGAGGTGTGGTCTTGTTGGAGTAGGTGTGGCCTTGTTGGAGGAAGTGTGTCATTGTGGAGGTTTGCTTTGAATTCTCCTATACTCAAGCTGCTCCTAGTGTCACAGACTATTTCCTGTTGCCTGCAAGATAATAGGATTCTCAGCTACTTCTCCAGCACCGTGTCTACCTGCACACCACCCTGTCCCACCATGATGATAATGGACTGAACCTCAGAACTGTAAGCGATCCACCCCAGTTAAATGTTTTCCTTTATAAGAGTTGCTTTGGTCATGGTGTCTCTTCAGAGCAATAGAAACCTTAACTAAGACTCTTGCTAAATGAAAACTTACATAAGGTACAAATGCACTCTTCTGGACTTTATAGCTTAGTGAAATTTATACACTATCCTTGAGCCATCATCTGGATACAATTTTTTGGGGGTAGGGGTGGCTGTTGTGTTACCCAAGTGGGCCTGTAACTCACTATTCTGCCTCCCCTCAAAGTTCTGGGGTCACAGTTGTGCACCACTATGGCTGCTGTGCACCCGCTTGCTTCCTGCCCCTTGCGGCTTCTCCAGCACTTGGCTATTGGTCACTTTTGCCAAGCTGTGCCTTAGCTGTTTTCCTAGCCTAACACTTTCGAGACAACAATGCTGTAAGTACGTTGTGTCTATTATTTATAGGTTGCTTTCTAAATTGTGCCATAACTTTTTACATGTCATATTACTTACATACCTTCAAGTGTGCTTAGTGGTTGTGTAATAATTATGTAGCAGTGACAGTTTTAAAAATATTTCACTCTCAGTTTTCAGTTTTCCCTTCCTGCAGAAAACTGTGAATGGTTTAGTGAACCATACTTTGCAAATGCCTGAGGAGTGACCAGCTGGACAGTGAAAGGACAGTTAGGTTTGTTTGTTTTCTTTTGTGTAGGGTCTCATTATGTTGACCTGTCTGACTAATTCCTGGGCCCCAGTGATCTCCTGCCTCGTCTTCCTCAACTGTGTGTACGTGCCACCATACTCCACTAATCTACAGTCATCTGAGGAGAGGGAGCCTCAAATGAGAAAATGTCTCTATTAGTGTGGGAGTCCACAAAGGATTCCTAGTGAGATCGGAGCTTGATTTACACAGCAGCACTGCATTAGGGGATGGCTGGACCACGTGCATGGTCACCAGGTGTCTGAGATGGTCTGCACTTGGCTGTGCTAGGGGGCGGTCTTTTGCTCCACCCCTTGGCATTCCTTTCAAAGCCCTTTGGTAGAGACAGTCTGGGCCCTCCTGAGGCTGTCCTGTGTTTCTGTCTGTCTCTCTGTAGCTGTATTTCTATCTAATATTTCCTGCTGCTCTTGCTCAAGAGTACCCTGGGGAAAAGTAGGAGTGGGATGCTCCCTTCCCTACCACCTATTAGATTGACCTATAGGCAAGCCTATGGGGCATTTTCTTGTTTGGTGTAGGAGGGCCCAGCCTATGTGGGCAGCGCCACCCTGCATGTGGTTCTGGGGTAAATAAGAAAGCAAACTGAGCAAGCCAGGAGAAGCCAACTAGTAATGAGTTCCTCCATGACCTCTGCTTCAGGCGCTGCTCTGGCTTATCCCATGATGGAGTGTAACCTGTAAGCCAAATAACCCTTATCTCCCTAGACTGTGCTGGAGGTTGAGGTCTGTATATCCAGATTGCCTCTAGGAGGTCAGAGTGACTTAGGCCTCTCCCAGGGGTGTTCAGAGTGTGTATTGTATTCCATCCTTACCGAATTAAAAAAATTACAGATTCCACATCCTTTACCCAAATAAATAAACAAAATGTAATTCAAAAATTTACAGACTTTTATTTGTGGATTTTTTTAGATTTACAGAAAATTAAACTGAGATTTTGTCAAAAATTTTAATAGCTAATGGCATATACAGTGTTTTACAGATTAGTTTAAATATGTCTTCACTATTCATTTCTCTTCCCTCCTAAATCTCTGACAGCTTTTATTTTTCTATGCATTCCAGAACTCTGCCATTTTCAAAATATCCTGCACTTGAAATCTCACAGTATTTTCTTCTTAGGAGTCCACATTATTTAAGTTTCATTCTTCTGTGTGTGGGATGTTTGAGGCAGTAGCTCATTTCTTTTTATGGCTTATATTCCTGCATGAATTTACTTAAGGTCATCTTGATTATGCCTGCCTTTTGCATCTATAAATGCAGCTAATATAAAATGCATGTGCAGGTTTGCAGGTTTTCTTGTGGATGGAAACTTCTGGCTCATTTAGTCAAACTCAAAAAAAGAGTAGGATTGCTAGATTGTATGGTGGCGTAGAGAGCGGTTCTCAAGCCTAACAACCATCTTTATCACAACAGCTCTGACGTGTGCACACAGCACACACACACACACACACACACACACACACACACACACACACACACCACACACATACCTCACATACACCACACACACACACAGCACACACACACATACACACATACCACACACACATACACACACACCCCACACATACACACACACACACACATACACACACACCCCACACATACACACACTCACACACCCCACACATACCTCACATACACCACACACACACATACACCACATACACACACACACACATACACACATACACCACATACACACACACGCATGCACGCACACACACACACACACACACACACACACACACACACACACACACACACACGCTGAGCCCAGGCTTGTTGATGGTTGGCCATCTTCCATAGAGAGTCTGGGAGGCTCACTAGGCCCTCACGGAGATTCCAGCCTTCCCTTCCTACACCTCCCAGCCCTTTGTATGTAATCTGTCCTATTTGCACATGGCCTTATGGTCTTGGAAGGTGCCAGAGGGTACAGATCGTGAAGGTTAACGGAAGCGGGACTCCAGCTCTGCAGCTGTGAGATAACTGACATCCATGTTGGGACAAGATACTCGGTGGTGCAGCTGTTTATGGTCTTCCCCTTCCCTCCTGATGCGTGCTCTGTCAGTAACCCCAGGAAAGTGTTTGATTCCCCAGGTTGCGCTTTAGTGGAGTTACCTCGGTTCACCTCTGGTGTCCTATAAGTAGGGGTTGACATTTTTTTTCATCCCCAAGAAAGTTCCCAAAACACATGGGAAGAGGGGCTGCCGAAGTCCTCTGAGATGGCATTCCATTGCTGTGAAATCCGTTCTCAGGGTTTTGTCCAGTAACATTTAGAAGAGGCTTTTCAGTGCCTGTAACCAATACACGATTGCCCATGTTACCACACTCATCACAGACCACATCTGTTTCAGGTTCAGCTCACTCAGAAGAGCCAATGTTGTTCTGCAGCATCTGGTAAGTGTGGACTTTGTTTTGCTGTTTGTGATAGAACTTCAAAGTGTCACTGTTAGGGAAGTAGACATCCCTGGGATGGCGGGTTCCCTTGACTTCCTAACCACTTGCCTCACACTCCTGGTAAGACTTGCCACCTCCTACACACTGTGTGTGTTGTAAGGCTACTTTAACAAGTGTTGCAGTTTTAAATATTGAGTCCACAACTTAACCTTGGACAAATGCTTAGTTTATTGTAGCTTCCCTTTATATATATATATATAAATGAGGATAGTGTTTACAGTGATTCAAAATGTTAAAAAGATATTGAATTTTAAAAATTTAGCATGTGGGCTGGAGTAATGGCTCAGCGGTGCTTAAGAGACTGACTGCTCTTGCAGAGGACTGGGGTTCAGTCCAAGCACCCACATGGTGGCTATCAGCAGTATATAACTCCAGTTCCAGGGATCTTATGTCCTCCTCTGGCATCTATAGGCACTGTAAGCATTCGGTGCATAGACATACATGCTGACAGAGCACCCATACACATAAAATAAAGTGTAAAAATCTTAACACTAATACAGTATATAATGTGTAAATAATAACGTCATACTTTAGCAATTATTGCTAATAATAAATGCTAATACCTTATTATTTATTATTTTCCTTGGCTCTGCAATAGTTAATGCTTCTACTGTATGTGTTTACTCACACGCTGGACATAATAAGATCAGAATCTGATCTGTCTCAAGTTACTTAAGAAAGATATTTTATTACAGGAATAATTTTGTTAACTGGACTTTTCTGGTGAGAAATTCAAATTAAAAGAATGTATCATTTTGTATTGTTCAGTAGGCTTTCTTTCTTCCTTTTTGTTTTTGTTTTTGTTTTTCAAGACAGGGTTTCTCTGCATAGCCCTGGCTGTCCTGGAACTTGCTTTGTAGACCAGGCTGGCCTCAAACTCAGAGATCCTCTTGCTTCTGCCTCCAGAGGGCCGGGATTGAAGGTGTGCTCCACCCAGCTTCAATAGGCTTTCTTAAAGCTCTTCTAAGTGCATATCATTTTTGGTTACTATCTGGTAATGAACTGTCTTACGAATTAAATACACAACATGATTTTACAAGGGAAAATGAAAACATGTTTAATGCTGTGAAAATGTAGTTGTTTGGATTTCATCAGGTATTAGTTATATGTGTACTGAATGGTTTTAATTGGCATATTCCAGGTAAAAATTTAAATTCATTTGTTTTTAAAATCTTGTGATCCTGAGGATTGAGTTGAGGAATTTGTACATGCTAGGCAGGCACTCCACCACTGAGTATAAAATCTAAACCAATAGCTAATTTTACTATATGTTTAAGATTCACTTTTACTATCTTTAATTGTGTCTGTGGGTGAGTGTCTGTGTGCTGGTATGTGTGTGTGTGAGTTCGGGTGCCCATGGATGCCAGGGCAGCAGATTCCCCTGAAGTTGGAGTTAATAGGCAGTTATGAGAAGCCTGTTGTGGGTGCTGGGAACTGAACGAAGGTCCTGTGCGAGAACAGTATACACTCTTCACCACCGAGCCATCTCTCTAGCCTCACTGACTTCCATACTATACACTGTCCCCATGTGTTGGCGCTCAGTTTGGCGGGGTGAACCTGGGAGAGTGGAGCCTGAAAGTGAGGTGGACTAAAGTGTCATGCAGTAGCCAGTTATTCAGGTGTTAGACAGTTTATATTCTGAGGGTTAAGCAAAGTCAGTGAGCAGAGTTGACATTAGTTCAAGCTGTGTACAGTTTCGAGAACAACTCTTGCTGGAAACTTATTCTGAGTAATAACGCTAAGACGATGGATTATCTAAAGTAAACCACTCCGATTACTACACTTGCACATTCCAAGACCATAACCCATGTTATGGAGAAACAGAGGTTACTCTTGTTTATTTGGAATTTTCTCACAAGGCCTCAGAAATCTCATACACCTTCATTCATGGAATGTGTTCCGACACCCCTGTGAGATCTAAATTGTCCATGGATAAAGGAGGGTGTTAGGAATGGTGGCGCCGTCAGCCCCGAGAGCTGTGTGTATGTCCAAATCCTGTAAAGCTGCTGTGTAGTTAAACTCATGTTCCTCACAGGTATTGTAGTTACTTCACGTTAAGTTTCAAACCCAGGACAAATGGCTGAGGTGCCTATTTAACATATGGAAATGGACCTGGCCACCAGGTTCTCCCATCATCCCTCAGTCCCTACCTGTTTTGAGTATGGCTGGCATACCCCACCATCGACCCTGAACTCTCCAGCCAGGGCCTGAGCTGCCCTTCCCCCAGAGGCTCTTCCCTATATCATCCAGGCATTTTGGTTACCTGCCCCTTTTGGACCTTTGGCCTCCTGGCTGCTGCACCTGGTTCCTCTTCTCCTCCCCCTCCATGGCCCAGCTCAGTCTGGTCATGTCCACTCTAGACTCTCCCAAAATGTCCCTGCCCCCGACTCTGTTTGCGCACGTATGTACAATAAACCTTCTCCTCCACCATACCTAAGAGCAGTCATGTCCCTTCCTTTCCTTCATGTTTCTTTTTGTACCCTGCCACGTTGAGTCTCCCTGACCTTTTTAAAAGTGATGCTGACTGCTCTTAGAGAATCAGTGGACCAGTCTAATCTGACTCGGCATGACCGTTGTTGGACTGGAGACTGTTGGTACTGTAGTTACACAAGTGACAATGTCGTCCTGGGTCAGACCCTGCCAGTGCATACACAGCATCTTTCCAGTGTAGAACTTGCAGGTCTGAGCTGTGATCTGGCCCTGCTGCTTGTTCTTAGCATTTCCAGATGCTCATTGTTCATGGCTAGCACACGCCATTGCTCACCTGGAATTCTCACCTCTTTTTTTCTAATGCCCATCACAGCCTGCCCACATGCTACCTTTTCCAAGTTGTTCACAGCTACTGCAGTAAGAATTATTTACTCTCCCCATTTTCTAAGCACCTAACATAGAATTTGAAATGCAGTAACAAACTACAAGACTTCAGAGTCTTCATGGTCCAGGGTGCTCTAGGCTGTATTTTAGATTAGTTGATTCAGTCCACTTAGAAATAAAATACTGAAAATTCAGGAGATGTGCATGGTTTGCTTTGGGACTGTTCCATCTGTGTAGTCTGAGAATGTTAGATGTCCCTAGGTTGCCACTCCTTTGGTTACTTACTTGAAAGATGTGCACTGGGTGTGTGTTTTGCTGTGGGCGTGTGGTAAAACTTTCTGAAGTTATTCTTTGTTGTTCAGAGAATGTCCATGCACACAGAAGCTGCGGAAGTGCTGCTGGAGAGGAGAGGCTGTGCGGGGGTCATAACGCTGAACAGACCCAAGTTCCTCAACGCTCTGTCTCTGAACATGATCCGGCAGATCTATCTACAGCTAAAGGTCCGTAGTAGTTGAAAGCCCCGTGGAGATCCTTCTGAAGTACATTGTAGGAGAGCGTTCCTGGTATTTTATCCCAGGACCATTGCATCCGCACCACTGACGCCTCCCCGTGGAACCTTGCCCACTCCACTCACTGCCTTAGGAGAGCAGCTTCACATAGCTCTTACTTTTCATGTTTCTTTCTGCTCTCTGACACTCTTCATGTGACTGACCTTTTAAACAGTGATGCTGATAGTGTACTGAGTGAAAAAAGAGCATTAAAAAGGAAGTAGGCATGATGGAGGAGGATGGCTATTGTCAATAAAAGAGAAAGCATAGCCAGAGTCGGGGGCGTCTAGGACTGTCCAGAGTGAACATGACCCTGAGTTGAGCCATGTGAGGAGAGTGGGAAGGGGAGAGCCCAGGAGACCAGGAGAGTAAAGGGTAGAAGAAAAAGGGCCAGGGAACCAACATGGCTGGTTTATATAGGGAAGCTGGGGCAAGGGCAGCCCAGCTTCTGGACTGGAAAAGTTTAGAGTAGAGGGTGGGGTATGCCAGCCATGCCCTGTAACAGGGAGGGACTGAGGGATGCTAGGAGAACCTGGTAGCAGGTCCACTCTGATAGGTTAAATAGCCACCTCAGTTAGCCATTTGTCCTGGGTTTGAGACCTAACATCCCAGCCCTTTTGTTGATAATAAATGGTAAGGGGTGATGTAATCTTTTTTATGGCTGCTTCCTGCTGACACTGGGCTGTAGCTAGAGTTTTCCTGCCTGGCCCACAGTCAGGACAAATCTCTGTCACCCGCCAGTCCCACAGCCGCTTAGACCCAACCAAGTAAACACACAGAGACTTATATTGCTTACAAACTGTATGGCCATGGCAGTCTTTTTGCTAACTGTTCTTACAGCTTAAATTAATCCATTTCTATACATCTATACCCTGCCATGTGGCTCGTGGCTTACCGGCGTCTTCACATGCTGCTTGTCATGGTGGCGGCTGGCAGTGTCTCCCTCACTCAGCCTTCCACTTCCCAGAATTCTCCTCTCTCCTTGTCCCGCCTACTTCCTGCCTGGCCACTGGCCAATCAGTGTTTTATTTATTGACCAATCAGAGCAATTTGACATACAGACCATCCCACAGCACTGGGGCATCATGGTTGGGGACTCAAGAAAGCTGGAATATTGGCCAAGGCTGGCAAGAGAGAGAGGGGAGTGAAGACCATTTCAGTTGCTGTCCAGGCTCTATGGAACCTTTTGGAGCTGGGGAGGTGCAGGCTGCATTGGAGCAGTTTGTGAGGCTGGACCACCTGAGCTAGCAGCTTTGGGGCGAAGCAGGCTAGGGTGCAGATTCCAAGGAAACACCTGGGGCTGGGGAGTTGCTGGAGCAGTCTGTTGTTGATTTGAAGTCTGCTGGGATAGACAGACTAGGGACAGAAAGTAAAGTTAAGGAGTTTAGGGGAATTTCTTTTTAAAATCCAGTTTATATATTTGGAGCTTCCAGGTCCATGGTCCTAGTAGTTGCAGAATGGGAGTCCCAAGACCCAGGAAAAGGGGAGAGACCCCACCCTCAAGAATAGGCAGGTAGGGAAAGCTGGAAGCATTTATCTGGAGTCTGTTTGACCTGGGAGATCCAAGTTGACTCCCTGAAGCTTACAAGAATTTTTTTAAGTTTACAAAAAGAGATAAGTTTTAGATATGGTAGTGTAGCAGAAATCTTAACTGGATCTTATTAATGAAATCAAACCTGAGGCCAGTTATTGGGGTGGACTAGAAGATCAGAGAACCAGAACAAGCCACAGCTACCTCACCTCGCTGGATCCTCAGCTGGTCCTGTTTCCTCAGACTGGAGGCCTCTGAGTCCTCATCCAGAATGGGTCTCAGCTGAACTGCTGCTCAAAAGCCTGAATGGTTAACCAGGCCAAATGCTTAACCAGGCCAAAATGCTTCTAGTTCTGGTCCTCACACCTTATATATCTTTCTGCCTTCTACCATCACTCCCTGGGATTAAAGGCGTGAGTCACCATGCTTGGCCGTATCCTTAAACACATGGATTTCTGCCTAGCTCTGCCTCCCAAGTGCTGGGATTAAAAGCGTGTGCTACCACTGCCTATCCTCTATGTTTAATATTGTGGCTGTTCTGTCTTTGACCCCAGATAAGTTTATTAGGGTGCACAATATTTCGGGGAACACAATACCACCACATGGTAGCATTACCACTGTTCGTAACCTGTATTGAAATCCACATTTTAGAAAAGGTAGTAGACTCATGCCTTTGAGTCATAGTAAAAGCTTGGGACCCAAAAGTGATTCTGGATTAAAAGCCCTAACACTCTTTCCAGAGGGCTGGATGTATAGATTGAACAGAGGTGTTTTTAGCACCATGAGAAGCACTTTTAAAGTCTGTTCTTAGAAGACAACCGAAGGAGATTTAAAATCTTGAGCTTGTGACTGATAATAGTACTCAGTGCTTTACCAACTTACTGGAACTCCATCGATGTTAAAATTTTGAACTTTAGAAATTTTAGTATAACAATAGCATAGTGAGGAGAAAAGAAATAAGAAACATTTTTATTTTTCATATACCTTAAATCATTTTTTAAACCTTTACAACTTGCCTTTACATACCTTTAAATACTTTCTTAAACCTTTATAACTTGCATTTATACACCTTAAAACACTTTTTTAGATCCTCACAACTTACTTTAAATTTGCTTATTCTTAATTCTTTACAACTCATATTTATATACCTTAGAACACTTTCTTAGACCCTCAGAACTTACATAGAATTTAAACTTTTTCTATCAGATCATTTACCATGAGACACAAGCGCTCTCAATTCTGAGAGCAGTCATTGTAAAAGCAAGTTCCTTTAAATAAAGGAATAGTAAAAAATTACTTTGAACCCTGCTTTGTGAGTTTATCTCTTCGGAGTCTGGTAGCAAGGTGAACTGTCTTTCTCAGCTGGAGACCTAGTAGCTCTAGGAAAGTGAAGCCTCATGCCTGATTTCTTTCCTTTTCCCTCCCTCCCTCCCTCCCTCCCACCTTCCCACCTTCCTTCCTTCCTTCCTGTTAACATATGAACAGAACTGAGAAGGCAGCTGAAACCTTGTGGGGAGAGCTGAGTGATTGTTGCTGTCAAAGCAATATCAATATCATCAGAGATCTGAAAAGGATAAATTATAGCAGGAGGTGTAACCCAAGTTGCCTATATATCAATTAAAATGACAGATTCACTACCTAGACAGTTGCCCTGGGCTCCCGTGGTCTCGATGGCTTCACTGGGGGCAGTGGTCGTAGGTCTTGGGCTGTCTTACAGGACAGTGTTTAATCTTCAGCTGTCACACAGAGCAGCATGGGCCTTGGGCTGCCTGGCCTAGGTCTGAGGTGTTCCTGTGAAGGAACTTGGAGGACTGACCTTATACCGACCAGGCAGAGCAGGGCAATCAGCCATTAGTATCTGCAGCTTGGCCAGAGCCCTGGCAGCAGTCGAGGCACGGGGCAGTTTTGCCCAGTAGTTATTGTTCCCATAATTTAGATGGGGTTGTTGTGCCTTATCTGTATTCTTTGGAGATCTTAGGGTTCCTACTAGGAGCATTTTTGTCTATGATAGGAAGCTTTTTCATTAAACATTTTAAATGTTATATTCAACAGATCCCTGAAGAGTTTGAAGACCATCTATCTATTAAATATACCTGAGTTTAGGCTTTACTTTGAAAATACATTAACTTGTATGTCGTAGTTATCTTTAGCAGTTTAAATTGGTAGCTTTTATAACACTAGGATTTTATAGCTTTATCCTGTTAAGTTTGAACTTTACAAATTAGAGTTGAAGATTTAAGAGAAGATTCTTTAGCATCAAAATAAAACTAGAAACCATAAATGCAGTCTGTAGGGACACTGGGGACTTTCCTGATCCTTTTATAGTGCACCGTTATAGACTATCACAGTTTTTTGTATAATTGAGTTTATCCAGATAGCTAAAGCTTAATAAAGTGAGCAAAACAAGGAAGCAAAGTAGACAGATACTACTGTGAACCTAAGTAGACATTTAGGAACTTATAAACCTTGATTATCAAATATACTTTATTTATCAACATATATTGTTACTTACCTAAATTTTCTAGAAGCCTCGTGTTGAACAGTTAGCAAATGCATAAGTAGTTATGTGTAAATCTCTAAGTCAACTTTTGTTAATTTGAGTAGACCTTTATGACTAAAATTTTATCATCATATAAAAATTCAAACCACGCCGGGCGGTGGTGGCGCATGCCTTTAATCCCAGCACTCGGGAGGCAGAGCCAGGCGGATCTCTGTGAGTTCGAGGCCAGCCCGGGCTACCAAGTGAGTCCCAGGAAAGGCGCAAAGCTACACAGAGAAACCCTGTCTCGAAAAACCAAAAAAAAAAAAAAAAAAAAAAAAAAAATTCAAACCACTCCAAAATATCTTGGAAACCTGCTATTGTCTCTTTAGTCTAAAAAGGAGATATAGTGATAAACACAGAGCTTGTTAGGAGCAAGAAGTTTTATAATTGCTGATTCATGCCATGTGATCATCTTAAGAAGGTGAAGTCACATGTCATGCACTTTTTAACCTTATTAAAGATGGCTGCCAGTCATGTGGTTGCTTTCAAATCTTGATGAAGGTCATTATCTAAAATGGAGGAGAGCCACATGGTTGCTATTTAAAACATCTATTTTTCTAAGCAAGAGTTGAATCACATATAATATGTTTTAGCAAATTAAGATTTCCTATGTATAGGTTTTTTTTTTAACTATCTATGTTTTGTTACAAGCTCTAAGCTAATTTTTGTTACAGATTTTACAGATTCTTTAACCACACCCATTGAAGTTACAAATCCTGAGATAAAGACTATTTTCACAATAGTCTTAAAAGACTTCTTGAGAGCAGAGCACAGAGACATTGTAGAGATAAAAGTTCTGAGAGTGGGAGGTTTCAACCCTTAGAGATGAGATACTCTGGGATCCTTTGCTTGTGCTGGCAGAAGTTGTTACAATCTGTGAGAATTTGGAACTCAAGTGTGTCGCATTTAGCCGTGGAGCTGTGTGGTGGCCAAGCCATCTGCAGTAAGACAGTGAGGTTTTCATAAAACCGCTGAGTCTGAGAAGAAAAGGAGGAAGGTCGCCTCCTCCCCTTCTGCCGTCGGGAGGGCTCCACTCAGCTCCAAGAGGGAGCGAGAGACAGAACAGTGTCGCTGTGAGGGACAAGGAGGGACAGGCAGGAATTTCACCCGAGGGCCCCAATGCTGTAGAGGCCATGAGGGCATAAAGAAGCTGCAAGACTTCCAGGAGGGAGTTGAGAGACAGGAGAGACAAGGACGCCATCTTTGTTAGGGTTTTATTGCTGTGAAGAAACACACGACCTCAGCAACTCTTATAAAGGAAAGCTTTTAATTAGGGCTTGCTTACAGTTCAGAGGCTTATTAGTCCATTATTGTCATGGTGGGAAGCATGGTGGCATGCAAGCAGGCATGGTGCTGGAGAATGAGCTGAGAATTCTACTTCTAGATCCTCAGGCAGCAGGAAGTCAATGTCATGTTAGACCTGGCTCGAGCATTTGAGACCTCAAAGCCTGCCCCTAGTGTACTTCATCCAACAAGGCCACACTTCCTAATTGTGCCATTCTCTAATGAACCTGTGGGGTCCATTTTCTTTCAAACCTCCGCAGTTGCAGAACCCAGAAGGGCTTACAAAAGCTGTGACTTAGCAGACATTTCCTAGGGGGAGACAAGGAAACTCACAGTATACAGGCCTGGGAGGGCGTAAGGAGAGACAGAGCAGGCAGCTCCGTGGGGGAAGAGGCAAGGAAAGGGCTGCAGTTGGAGGAGAGCATAGAGAAGCCGTGGAACTTAGCAGGCAGCTCCTAGGGGAGGTGAGGAAATTCCAGGAAGGAGCTGAGAGGACTCTGAGGGAGCAGAGGCCTTAAGTGTCGTGTAACAGACAAGAATTTTAATCTAGGGCGTCCCCAAACGGACTGAAAGACTTGTCAGAGAGAAATGTCCCAAAGCACAGAGGAGAGGCTTCCCTTTCCACATAGTAGGGGCCCAATAGGGTGAGAGGAGCATCCTGGCACACTGGTGTGGCTTCTGTGATAAAGCAGACAAAGCAGGCAGCTCCATGTGACACTTACCTAGTGGGAGGAGAGATGAGTGGTTAGAGCAGGTAGAGAACACAGCTGAAGAGGTAGACTAGAGGCTCTTGGGAAAAGGGAGGATTCCAATAGAGGGAGAGGAGTAAGTAAGTGTCTTAGTAAGCAAAGAGTTGCCCATGTGGTGGGTCCCCAGAGGGTGTTACAGGCGCTAGGAGCTAAGGAGAGGACACTTACTGAGTAGGCAAGAGATGGATGGGTAGAGTAAGTGGAGCGAAAAAGCGGCTGAAAATTTGAACTCTAGGATTTGGAGCCTAATATGGCAGGTGGCAGAAGCCAGCAGAAACAGATGATCCGTACACACCATAGGGGAGTCAAATCGGCTTGGTTTGGAGAGGCTACGTTCCTTGGAAGGGAACTCATATATGCCAGTCCCAGGGTTTGGCACCAGATGAATGAAAAGAAGTAAAAAGGAAGGACATGACTGCTCCTTGGCATGATGGAGAAGGTTTATTGTAGATAGAAGGGAGAGCACAGGCAGAGACAGGGACATCTGGGAGAGTCCAGAGTGGACAGGACCCTGCATTGGGCCATGTGAGGAGAAAGGGTAGGGGTACCTCTCTGGCTCCTGGAGCATGCTACATGGGCATTTTCCTGTTCTGCCCTCTAGTCTGCCCACCATGTGGCATCTCCCTGTTATAACTTCTGGGGCCTCACCACGTGGGCAAAGAGCCAGGAGACCAGGAGAGTAGACCACAAAGGGCCAGGGAACCAAAATGGCTGGATTATATAGGGCAAGGGCAGCCCAGCTTCTGGGCTGGAGAAGTCTAGGGTATGGGGTGGGGTATACAAGCCACACTCCGTGATGGGTGAGGACTGAGGGGTGCTAGGAGAACCTGGTGGCAGGTCCACTTTGATATGTTAAATAGGTACATCAGTTAGCCATTTGTCCTGGGTTTGAGACCTAAATGTACCAATCTAATCTGCTTCTACCTCACCTTTTGGGTTGAAGACACTTTGTCATTTAGTTTTTGAGACAGAGTCTAGCTAGTTAGCCCAGGCTGGCCTCAAACTTATAGTCTTCCCACCTATCCTTCTTCCTTGCTGGGACTGGAGGCGTGCACCTCTGTGCCTATGAGACAGCCGTTGAAATGGCTTAGGTATCTCCTCCTTCCTCTTGCCTCTTGACCCCCTTCTTCCCCTCCCTCCCCGAGCTGCTAATCAAGTGTTCTCCTGAGCTCCACCCCAGCCTCTTGTCCTTTGTATTTCTTAGCCATCTGTAGAGAAAGTCATAGGCTTTAAAGTGATACGTACGAGATACTAGAAAGTATAGAGCTGGAGGTCAGGCATGCATCTGAAACTTGGATTTCTGAATATTAAATCTGTAGGCTAGGCATGTTAGTCTCTGTACCTTGCTTTCCTCAACCGTGAGGAAATGAGAATGATGGTCTTTCATAGTGTGGTCATAAAGGGAGCACTTTGCACCCCACACCCATCAAACCCTTGACTGTGTACTGCATTTTTGTGGTATAACAGCCCTCTCCTGCTATGGGGGAAGGTCATTGCTACACCACATGCCAGCAATCTTTGGGGGGATTTGTTTACTAGACTCATAGATATATATAACACAGTGCCACTAGGCACCTATTTATTCGTCTTAATCTTAAAGCTTTGACAGATATTTCTGGAACACAGATTGCACTTAGAAAGAAAATGAAGTGGATGGGATCCATTCCACTGGCCGTGTTTCAGGAAAGGCCATGTGTGTGCACACACTGTGTGCAAATGTGTCTTAAATGAGCTGGTATTTACTGTTCCCTCAAAAGCCACTGCCATCTTTTATGTTTGTGTAGACGTGGGAACAAGACCCTGAGACGTTCCTGATCATCATCAAGGGCGCTGGAGGAAAGGCCTTCTGTGCTGGAGGGGACATCAAAGGTAAGGGCCCTCTGTGAGCCGGGACTAGTGAGCACTGGAAGATGTGTGAGGTAGTTTTTATTTGATTTACTTTTTAGAATTGTTTGCTATATGTTAACAATTCTTTAAAAGTAAAAAAAAATAAGAGAATTTGTTACTATTTGAATGGAGATTTTATTTTACTACTCATATACAGTGCTGAAATTTAGATATTTTGTTTTCCTCTTATGGCGTATGCTTGCTGACATCACCAACATCATTGCCATGTGAAGAACTTCCTGCCCAAACCTTGTGCACGCTCACATCCATCACTCCCCACTGCTCACAATCCAGAGCAAGTTCTTCTGTGAGCACAGTTAGGACTTAAAGACACAGAGATAAAAAGTTACTTTTTATTATTGTTCAATTAGTCTGTATGTATTTAGCTATTAAAGCTAATATTTGTTCTTGTGATGAGAGTTATGAAATCATTGCTATCACTGCTGATTGTCCCTGCTGAAAAGGATTTTTACAGTTGTATGTTGTTTCTTATGGAATTGGTATGGTTCAGGGATTATTTTTCCCCCCATGTTCTGATTTTGCGATTTGTTTTATTATTAAAAGACAACAACCATTGGGTTGATTTGTTCACCAGATTTGCAGGTTTATGTAAACCATTGCACTGTGAGTAGGAAAGAAAAAAAAATCTAGATCAGGACCAAGTTCAGATGCTTACTACTATTATTATATAGAAATTTAGAATTGCTAAGTAATTGAAATCTTAATTTAATGCTTAAAGTAATATGTTAACCAAATTGTGGTTTTGCCCACAACATGAATTGTGTGTGTGTGCATGTGTGTGAGCCTGTATGTGTGTGAGACAATATGACTGTATATTGAGTGCCAGTATGCCTATGATTGCATATAGTGTGTTTTTGTGTGACTGTGTGTGTATGCATGCACCTGTATGCCTATGACTGTGTGTGTGTTCGCCTTTACACCTGTGTGTGTGTGTGTGTGCATGCATGCCTGTGTGTATTCTACATCTGAATCTTCAGGCAGCAGGAAGAGAGTGAGACTGGGCCTGACTTGAGCTTCTGAAACCTCAACGCCTGCCCCCAGTGACACACTTCCTCCATCAAGACCACACCTACTCCAACAAGGCCACATCTCCTCCTAATAATGCCATTACCTGTGAGCCTATGGGGGCCGTTTTCATTCAAACCACCACAATATATAACTAGTTGCTTTAAATGAAATTAGCTTGAAGTTAGAAGGAAGTCCAAGAAGGCTTTACAGAAAGTTACTCCTAGAGTTGGTAAGTGAGGCTCTAGCTCAACAAGGGACAGCAGATAAGGGATTTTTGTTTTTTGTTTTGTTTTTTTCTTCGGGAAACTATCCCTCATTTGCATCATAATGGCACAGTTAAAGCAGATCTTTCTTAGGAAAGTATAGTTGGCCCTTGGTGTCTGATGTTTCTGCCCTATGGATTCAACTCACTGTAGATGGGAAATATTTGGGAAAACATTATATATTTGTAAAAATATATAATAAAAAAATATAAAAACATTATATTTGTACCAGAAAGGTACTTTTTCCCTTCTCATTATTTCCTCAACACCCTGTGGCCACAATTTACATTAGATGTTATAGGTCACCTAGAGGTAACTTCCAGTGCACAGGGCAGTGTGCCTCAGCCATCTTACGTGTACTGTTTTCTCCTAAAGGATACAGGGATGGGACAAGGTGTGGGAAAATGGGTATGGAACTTCCATGTCCTCTTTGCCTGTGTGGAACCCCCTCATGTTGATCCCATCAGTAATGTTGTTAAATTTCAAAGCTCAGAGCAGAGCACACACATACATCAATGGCATTGTTGAGGACATATTCTTCTCAGTCTGTTATCTGTAACTGTTCTGCAGCCTTTGGACTTTGCTGAAGACTCCGCTATAGAAGCATGCAGTTTAGTGCAGAGGAACATGCAGAAGTGTGATTGGTCTAAGCCAATACAAACAGACCAAGTGGGGAAACTGAGCAAGGCCCATGTGTCCAAATCCTTGTTGCTTTCTCTGCCCATTCCTTCCTCTGAGTTCTGGAACAGGACTCTTCAAGTGGGGTTCTTGTGATCCGGGTCGGAATATGTCAGACTAGCTTCAAGTACTGGGAGGAAAAAGAATAGAGACTGTGGCCTGCTTTAGGTAGAGAAGTTCTTGTGTATGTGACCTGCCTTGAAGAGGGACTTACTGAGTCAGGAACCGTGAGTGAAAATCATGTGTGTGTGTGTGAGACGTGCATGCATGGAGGCTTGTGTGCATGTGTATATGTTAACAACACAATAAGTAAAAGAAGAATGTTTGCTTTGAAGCTTTGACGTTGGACTGTGGGTCTCTGACAAAGGTTAATGTGTTATTGGTGTGGGTGACTTCACACATTAAAACCATCTGAAAGTTCTCTCTCCAGCACTTAATGATTACAGGACTTTTAATATCTTTCACTGTATTGACTGTAAGCCATCTTTATGATTTCTAATTGTTCTCTCCTTCATTTTTTCCTTCCTTCTTTAGCACTCTCAGAAGCTAAGAAAGCAGGGCAGAGTGTGACTGGAGATTTATTCAGAGAAGAATATATACTGAACAATGCCATTGGTATGTGTGGGATGCACTCTGAGCTTTGAACATGAAATCAAGAGCTGGGATGACATTGTAATTTGTTAGAATGCAGCCAATAGGTACTCTTTTTTTGTTTTGGTTTTCCAAGACAGGGTTTCTCTGTGTAGCTTTGGGTGCCTATCCTGGATCTTGCTCTGTAGACCAGGCTGGCCTTGAACTCACAGAGATCCGTCTGGCTCTGCCTTCTGAGTGCTGGGATTAAAGGTGTGTGCCACCGCCACCTAGCCAAATAGGTACTCTTTATGGAAACTTTACGTTATGGAAACATACTGATGCAATTATTCTGTATTTGTCTAAAAATCAATGTGAAAATATTGATTCTTGATCATTTAGCTAGCTTTCTCAGAAGACAAGAGAACTTGCATTCAAGGTTTCTAAATAAAGTCCCATTTTCTGTCTCTCTAGGAACTCTGCAGTGGAAATTTCCTTTAGAATCAGGGTTCTAGGTTTCTGGGGAAGTGAAGTGGCATTTGCTGTACTCAAACATGTTTTGAAAAAATAATACAGCATTTGTATCCAAAGTCTAGACATAGTAGCAATATTCTGATTCTGCATGATGTCATAAGAACAATGCATTTTACAGTCGTAGTTCAGCCCCTCTGTGGTTTTCCTTCGTGCCATTCCTTCCTTTAACCAGAAGGAACCTCAGCCCTTGTCAAAAGCCATGCACCATTCATCTGCAGTGCCGTCTTTTAGACCGTATTTAAATTGATGTAACAGCACAGGGCTTGTTCTGCACTAACTTGGAGAGAACTGATCTTTGATACGAGTCTTTCCTCCACGAATCTGTGGAGTTAGAATTTATAGTGTAACACTGTAAGTGTTCAGTGGATTTTAGAAAAGCACTTGGTGGTTAACACCAACTTAAAGAATAGTATACAGTTTACCGACGTGCCCCGACTTACGATGGGAGTATGTCCAAGTGAGCTGTAATTAAGCTGAAAACACTGTGAGACGTTCGATGCGTCCAGCCTGTGGAAGCCAAGGCTTAGCCTCACAGTTCCCTGCTCCATGCTGTCACTGACCCTTGCACTTCCGTACTGCCCAGTGTCGTCAGTGCCCCGATACTATTCCACACTTATGCATAGGAGGTGATTTCTAGTTCTTATGAGAGAGCTGGTTCATATGCTACTCCAGCGACCGAATGCTAAAATTTATCTTTAAATAGTATGTAGAATGGATAGCTATATAGCTTCACATTGTTTCCAAAATTTCCCAGAAATAGAAGACTTTTTGTACACATCTTTTTTTTTTTTTTTTTGACTACTCTTGGACCTTTGAATCTTCTATTTTAACTTAATAATTGTTTTGTCTAGTTATACATTTTTTTTTATAGAAGTCTGGGAATATGTAACCCAGAGGCCTGAGGTTCGTTCCCTAGCCTTGAGACAATAGGCAGATAGATGGAGACAGACAGACACACGTAGGGAAGGAGGGGGCGGGATATACGAGAATGAGTGATTATGAGAAGGCCAGTTAGCAGCTGTGGAAGCCTGGACTGGGAGGACAGTGACTTGTTCCGCCCTGACTTGGGCAGCACTGGGTTCTTGATGGGGTCTTCTTCCCATGAATCTTTGTGGATTTTACAGTGTAATGCCACAAGCATTCTATGGTTTTAGAAAATTAACAAGGTGTGCAGCTACATGTGTGCTGTCCATTTCGACAGCCACTGAACATGTGAGTATGGCTAATGTCATCAGGAAACTGAATTTTAAATGTTGTTAATAATTTCAATATAAATGATTCCATGTGGACAATGATGGGTCATTTTTCTTCATGAAATAAAAAGGGAATAGTGTTTAGGCAGTGTGAAGGTAGTGTTTGGTAAAATATTGATAGTATAGAGAGAAAGTCATAAGGTAAATTTTATCTGTATGTAGTGATAAGCTAGTCAATAAGAGATTTGGCAGATTCTGGCCTCATGTCCTGCATTAGTTACTGCCTAGTAGTTTTTATTTGAAATACGCATTTCTATAGTAGTTGGTGTGGGTCTGTGTATGGATTCCCACCACAATCAATAGCTTCTATAGCTCCTAACGAACCGCACATATAGACCTTGTGAGTGTAAAGTCTGAGTGGTGCTTTGTGAAAACTTCAGGAATTTCCAGATGTATCAGAATGCATGTTTATCTTGGCCTTCATCAGGGTAGTGTTGGCAGTAAGCTGTGACAAAAGGCCATAGTTTATGTTATTATGTTATGCCAACTCTCCGAGAAGAAAACCTAAAAAGGGAAATAGAGACAGTAAAAGTTTATGTAATTAATGGCATTTTCAAACAGGGAGGGATATTTGAGGACATGTGTTAAGTCTTATTTTATAGATGATGACACTTATTTATGGATGATGTATATGAAACACCATTATCTGATATGTGTATGTGTCTTATATAACTCATGTGTTTATCACTAAGTGCCTGTTCTTTTAATAATAAAGCTGAGTCTGGATCTGGGTCTTGTCACCCCCACTCTGTGATTGTTCTTGTACAGTGTACTTCTCTGATGTATCTGGATGCTATCATTGTATAGAAAGCAAATATGTTCTTAAAGCACAGCTGGGTACGTGGTTTATAATGTAGGTGTAAATTATATTTCTTAGTTGCCAAATAGTGCAAAACTTTCATTTGTTTCTGACTTAAGACTGAGTTGTTAAGCAGTAATGTTATTTTACCATGATTGTGAGTGAATTGACATTTAAATATATATTATAAACCATGTAATAGTCTTCCTTGGTATTTCTTTAAACATTTCCTAGGGAAACTAGAGTACACATAATGTGACTTTTTGGAAAGAGAATATATTTTATATATTCTAACTAAAGCTCTCTCTCTTTTAGCTTCCTGTCAGAAGCCATATGTTGCCCTTATTGATGGGATCACAATGGGCGGGGTAAGTGGACTTTTTGTTATTTTCATTGTATGAATGAGTTGTATTAAAATAAGGTAATGATTATTTCATAACAAATGAGACAATGAATGTAATACAATACAGCTCATTGGAACATATATTTATTTCAGTTTCAGATCCTGGAAGATTTGGGCTATAAAATGTATTGGAGCCAAAAGAATATTTCATGTTCTTAATTATGCTGTAATCTATTTTAACCTTTGTAGTTATCAAACTCTCTTAAGCCACAGAAACTGATTGTACCTTAAAAAACTTGTGTGTGTGTGTGTGTGTGTGTGTGTGTGTGCGCGCGCGCACGCGCGCGTGCGCGCGCGTTTGTGCACACGGTGTAGGGTGTAAAATACGAGACTATGCTGGCATGCATGTGCCATGGTTCATGGATGGAGGGCAGAAGACAGCCTTGTTTGTCAGCCTTCACCTTCTACTGTCTTTGATCCAGGCCTCTTGTTATTTTCTGCTGTGTGTGTCGGGCTGCTTGGTCTGCAGACTTCAGAGATTCTCCTGGTTTTGCGCCCACCTCCTCTTAGGAACCCTGGGTTGTAGACACCTGGCTTTATGTAGGTTCTGGGGATTCATACACAGATTCTCATGCCTGTATGTCAAGTGCTATACCCACTGAGCCCTCCTCGCAACTCTGGTTGCACCGTTTTATTTACACTGAAACGTTTTCCCCTCTTTTGCAGTAAACTCGAGACTGTATGCACATAAGCAAATGTTCTACCACTAAACTTCATCCTTAGCCCTTGTTTTTTGAGGCAGGGCTTTCTATATAGCTCAGGCCAGCTACGCACTTGTCATGTGGCCTAGGATAGCCTTGAGTTCAAGATGTTCCTGCCTCTACATCCCAAGTGCTGGCTGGGATTACAGGCACACACCATCATTCCTCTATAGCCCCCTTTCCTACTTATACATCAACAGAATGCTTCCAGTAGCGTTGGGACAAAAACCTTCAGCAGCAGGGAGATGGGTCACTCAATCATTTCTGCCCTATAACATTTCACATTTGTGGAAGTGCTGTAATTTTTTCTCCCTTGAGACATGGTCTTGCCCTGCAGCTTAGGTAGTCTTCTGCCTTCCAAGTGCCGGATTGCAGGTATATGCCACCAGACCCGGTTTGGCGTTTCTTTAAAACCGTGTTCTGTTCAGTTGACAAATGTGTACTTGGTGTCTCTGCTATTAAGAAGACGACCAAGATGTGCTTTGAACAACTTGCTGTGAAGCTGGAGGAAACACGAAGTAATTACAGAACACGTGACAGATTGTCTGGTATTGACTGTAACAATTCTAGGCTTCACAGAGTGAGGGTCAGAAAGAACCTGCAGGGCAGAGAAGGGGCTGCCTGGAGAAGTCAGTGAACTGGACTGACCTGGACAGGTAGTGTGGGTAAGGGAAGGCAACCTGAAAAACCCGTCTTTTTATGTGTGGGGAGAGGAGTGAGTGTGTGCCGTGGTGAGCCTGGGAGGTCAGAGGACAGCGCGTGGGAATCCGTTCTCTCCTTCCACCACGTGGGTCCGGGCACTGAGGTCAGGTCCTCAGACTTTGCTGACCAAGGCCTTCACCCAGTGAGGTTTTGCCTAGCCTAGAAAGCAACTTCTTTTGTGACTCACTGAAATAGTGGCTGACAGCTCAGACAAAGGAGATTCACAAGACAGAAGCATGACAAGTCCATGTAATAAAAGTCGTACCTGACAGGGACTTTTGAAAGGAAGACTTGAAAACCTGTGACAAACTGCTTTTCTATTTAGCTTTGATACAGAATGCACAGTTGTAGAAAATGATCCTTGAACAGAAGGTATGTGAGCCAGTGAGAGGAGACCGGGTGGGGTGGGGGAGTGAGGTCTGTCTAAGCAGGTTCTTCTTGCCTGGCTATGTGGCATCCTCTCTGGCTGAGGCAGGACTCTCCATCAGGTGGAATGATACTGTGCTCTCAGGAGAGGTAGACTACAGAACAGACCTCCTTATCAGCTGTCTTCGTTGCTGTGAGTAGACACCATGACTACAGCAACTCTTTGTTTGTTTGTTTGTTTGAGACAGGGTTTCTCTGTGTAACAGTCCTGACTGTCCTGGAACTCACTTTGTAGACAGGCTGGCCTCAAACTCACAGAGATCCACCTGCCTCTGTCTCCCCAGTGCTGGGATTAAAGGCGTGCACCACCTCGCCCAGCCATAGCAACTCTTATAAGGAAACATTTAATTGGGGGCTTGCTTACAGTTTAGTCCATTGTCATCATGGCAGGAAGCATGGTGGCATGCAGACAGACATGGTGCTGGAGAGGAGCTGAGAGTTGTACATCTGGATCTGCAGGCAGCAGGAAAAGAACTCCTCGCTGGTGCTGTCCGTGAGCAGAACTTCCATAGGTTTTCACTACACAGCCCTGGCTGGCTTTCAGTTTGCTGTGCTACCCAGACTGCCTGTGGAATGATCATTGGGGTTCCATGTATGAGCCAGTGTTGGCTACACTGTTAAAATTTCTTTTAAAAGGCAGTAAAGCAGCCGGGGCGGGCAGTGCACATCTTTAATCCCAGCCCTTGGGAGGCAAAGGTAGGCAGATCTCTGTGAGTTTAAAGCTGTCCTCGTCTACAGAGTGAGTTTCAGGACAGCCAAGGCTACACAGAGAAACCCTGTCTTGAAAAACAAAACAAAAGCAAAACAAAAAGTCAGTAAAGCTTTAAATTCTTAAAAACCTTTGTATGTGTAGTTGTTTTGTCTGCTTGTATGTCACGTGCATGCCTAGTCCCATGGGGGCCAGAAGGGGGCAGCAGATCACCTGGAGATGGAGTTGCAGTTGCTTACCAGCCACCATATGGGTACTGAATATGGAACCCAGGTTTATGAGACAAGGATGTAGCTGAAGTTTTCTCCAGTCCTGCCTGGCCCACAGTCAGGACAAATCTCTCTCACCTGCCTGTCCTCCAGCCGCTTAGACCCAACCGAGTAAACACACAGAGACTTATATTGCTTACACACTGTATGGCCACAGCAGGCTTCTTGTTATCTAGTTCTTCTATCTTAAATTAACCCATGTCTATTAGTCTATAAGTTGCCATATGGCTCGTGGCTTACCAGCATCTTACATGTTGGTACTCATGGCAGCGTCTGGCAGCGTCTCCTGACTCTGCCTTCCTGTTCCCAGAATTCTCTTCTCTGCTTGTCCCATCTATACTTTCTGCCTGGCTACTGGCCAACCAGCACTTTATTTATACAGAGCAATATCCACAGCACAAGGACTTGCCTATGTATCCCTGACCACCTGGAACTGGCTGTGCAGATCTGGCCAACTTCAACAGGCTGTGATCCTCCTGCCTCTGCCTTTAGAGGACTAGAATCACAGGAGTGTGTCACCATGCCCACATAGACCTATGCATTTTAAAATCCCTTTCTTGATAATTTCAGTGTGAAAGTCAAGTTAAGAACCGCCTAAGTTAGTACATGGTGCTGTGTCACCTGTGGGTCTCTTTCTAAATTCCTCGGACAGTGGTTCCCACACCTTAGCTTATATCAGAGTCACTTGGAGGGCTGGTCATATGCAGTCCAGCCTTTGCCCTTTCCAGGTTAGCCAGTCTAGGATGTGGCCCTAGGAATTGCCTTTAGATATTAGTGATGCTGAGGATGGAGGTCTTCCTGTCGACTCCAAAAGCATTTTCCTAAGTTAGATTTAGGCTTAGTGGTAAGGTTGTGTTTTGTTAGTCTGTTACGTGGGATCTCAGAGGACAGTGACAGTCTTCAGCCAGTGACCTTGCTTATTTAATTTTACCAACCCAGCCTAAAACTGAGAAGAATTTCTGGCAATTAAGACTTAAGAAGTATGTATGGTTAGTAAATTGTTTCTTTGTTTTGATTTTGGTCAATAATTTTTTTCTTTCTTTCTTTCTTTTTTTTTTTTGGTTTTTCGAGACAGGGTTTCTCTGTGTAGTTTTGCGCCTTTCCTGGAACTCACTTGGTAGTCCAGGCTGGCCTCGAACTCACAGAGATCCACCTGGCTCTGCCTCCCGAGTGCTGGGATTAAAGGCGTGCGCCACCACCGCCCGGCTTCTTTTTTTTTTTTTTTTAAATATCATCTGTATTTACCTTTTAAATACAGATACCATGACTGGGCACTCTATCTCCAGTCACAAGCCTTGATGTGTCACAAGACATAGGGAAGCTTAGGGTTTTATCCTTGGTACTGTACTTTGGACAATGTGGGGAATTTCTGTCAAGTTGTTTCAGCTTGTGTTCTTACTTCAAAGACCAGTACATGCAGAGTTAACTACAGGGGATAAAAGTTTTAAAAAGTGGATTCTAGAATATGAAACTCAAGCCATTTAACAATTTTTTTTCCTTATAAAAATGAAGATATAAGCCAGGCTCAGTGGCGCATACCTTTAATCCCAGCACTCAGGAGGCAGTGCCAGGCGGATCTCTGTGAGTTCGAGGCCAGCCTGGTCTACAGAGTGAGATCCAGGACAGGCACCAAAACTACACAGAGAAACCCTGCCTTGAAAACAACAACAGCTACAACAACAACAGCAGCAAAAAAGATATATATGAGAACACTTCAGTTACTAAAGATTCCAGCTTGACCGCTAAATACTTCAAATAGCAAAGTTAATAATAAGTTATGTCACTTACAACAAATGTTCTTCCAACCTGTTGAAACAAGCCCATAGTATCACAGTACCACAAGTAGGAAGAAATTTTATCTTCCCTATTTTTCATACCACCAAAATAAACAAAAAATCTTGAAAAATATATTATCGGAGTGAAGAAAGATAAGCATCGAACACGTGGTCCTTCTGGTGGAGCTTAGTCTACTTCCATGCACGACATGTCGTCACCTCCCCCGGGTGGCATGTCTTCAGTTACAGAGCACTGGTATCGACCACACTTGATCATCCTGTAGATCCTGTTTGCGTGTGTCTGTGGATCTTCCAGACTGAAGCCGGAAAGCAGGAGCACCGCAAGGCGACCTGAGCCTTCGCAGACCTTTCCTCTCAGGGTT